ACTTAAGCGTTCCCACAACAATATCGCACGTCACTCTGACACAAAAAAATGGCGTTCGTCGAATCGCCTTTAGATTTCACGTAGAATACGATTCAGGCGACGCAAATTGTTAAAATCAACTCGTAAGTCAAATTTTGTACATTTTTCGATGCTGAATTCTGATCCAACCCCCCCCCTCTCCCGCCACGCCCACCCTATGAAAAGATAAAATTCTACGTAGGTAAAATCGCGCAGTAAACGTTGCCGTAACATCCTTTGTGGCGCATGAAAATAAACCAGCCTCAATTTTAGCGCTTCTACCCAGTTGTTGGCAACAACTTGTTGCACGTTGCTTACTTTTTAAACAACCTAGAATAGGGGAAGAACACGGTTTGATTAAGAAGCCCGCCGAAACTGCTGTAGAGCTCGAATCGCCTCACGTTGAGTGTTTTCTTGTGCGCGAGCAATCATTTCCTGTACCCCATGCTAACTGAAAACGTTAATATCTTACTGAGGAGTTGATTTAAACAATTTACGTCACCAGAATCAGGCTCCAAGTGAAATTTTGATCAGGGAACGCTTATCATAGTGCACAAATTTGCACCTTGTTTAAAGGTCTTAGTGCGCATACATCCAGAGACTTAAACGCTCAGGCAGGAAAATAAGCAAAAGTCTGGCATCGTATATCGCACCGAGAATCACGGTACTTTTATTCCCGTGAATCCAAAATTTGAGAAACTGATTAAGTAGAGATTGCATCGCGATCGAGTAAGTTCGTGAATAGTTAGACCATCTTGCCGAGTTACCTTCGTGCCTTGTCCAATTATTTCTCATGAAAAATTCATAAAATTATCTAGACACCCGCTCGGTTGCCTTCAATATGGTAGCATCCTAATTCTGTGACTTCATAGCAAAGGTAATGATCCTTTTGGCTGGTTACAAAATTTACATTCCCCCCCAATTTTTGGAAAAATTGAAACAAGAGCGTGCCAGAGGCTTTAAGGAGCCGCGAAAATTGTTTGTCTGTCCTCAATTTTTCCAAGGTAAATGAACTAGTTATTCGTATGTACATATCAATCAAAACGAAAAACTATGCGATAAAAAAAAATGATTGATAGATATGAGATGCTATCGAGTTTGTGAACCAGGATTACCCTTTCTGCTTCAACCGCCTTGTTCATTGGTAAACTCTTGTTGATCTCATCTCTGTTGAAAAACTACGAAATTAAGCGTGAGGCATCAAAAGACCAATATCGCAGTATCAAACTGAGTTTGTGACGTCATTTCGGCCTCAGGAATATTCCTAGAATGAAACGCTTGAATATTTTTCTCGGAATAGCCCGCTCTAAAACAGAGCGAGCAAACCTTCCAATGAAATTGAGCTGTAAAATTTTATTTCCGTTTGCTTTTTTGTATGTCTCTTTACCAACAGCGATTAACCTAAATTACAAAGAGAGGTGACTGCGAGTAGTGCAAGTACGTGATTGAACATAGCGGCTCCATGCGTTACATATGAAGATTGATACGTCAGCAATCTATTTCACTGATAATGAGGTGTGTCAGTCAGGCCAGTCGCAGCCGCCAAAGAATCTTTAACATGAATTAGAACCGCTTAATTTGCTTCATCAGTGTTTCAAAAGAGCTGTGCCTCTTCTGAGCACGGTACATCCCGTTTTTAATTTCCGCATAACATGATCCTTCCTCCAAGAATATCTTTAAAAATAAGGTAACTTTGAATATGTTGGAGTTTTTTGTAGCCAGCGTGCGTTAAAAATTCAGCCTAAGGCTGAAAATCTCAATACAGAGGGAAAAATACTACTAAAACACTAAAAAAACACTAAGATACTAAAAAAAACTCCAACATACTGTCTCCCGACGTCCACCGCAATCAGTTTGTGCAGGTAACTTTAACCATACGTGCAAACTCTTGGTAACCTTTTAAACAATCATAGGTGTTAATGCTCCTTGAAATAGTTAACCACGGTTTTGTTGAAATAAAAGAGATAGCACGGTAATTTTTTTATTTGTTGTCTTCATGAAAGGATTTTGTTTTTTCGCCACCCCCCCCCCCAAAAAAAAATTAACAATAGGGTCATTCAACGAAAGGACTTAAAAAACATACGTTACGTACGTATGATACTCGAAAAATGCTTTTCCCTGTAATAATTTTAAATTACTTTTTGTCAAGAACATGAAAGTTTTCAGCCGCTCGGAGCAGAGAAATTTTCACTAACGGCATTCCAAGCAGTCATTTAGACCCATGAAAACTGATAACATTCGACGATTGCTATCTTCGAGGTGTGTTCATTTACAATACCTGCAAACAACGGCACTCATCTGAAGGTCACATCATTATGCATCAAGTGAAGTCAAATATCAGTGATTTCACTTGGATTAAGAGGTCCCTATAACTTGAGGAAAAGAGCAAGGAGTGAAATGAATTCGATATGCAGCATGTAGCGCAATAGCCTGTTTCCTGGTCGGTACATTGCAGGAATGTTTTCCGTTGAACAGTGTTGCAAAATTTTATCGGGGATAAAACAACCGTAAAGTTTCCCGGAAAAATGTTACGACGTGCCACTGAGTATGTAAACTTTCAAATCGAAATATGTGAGTCAAATGTGATTGGAAACATCGATACCCTCCTTAGCGCCCCCATTGACCAGTGGCGCTAGCTCGATCAGCGCAGCGATGACCCTATATTTATTTTTCATGCGTGATGTGAGGAAACGGCTTTTCCTTTTTGATGGCTATTCAGGCACGACCAGTTTCCCGCCTTTTCTCCCTTTCCCGTCGTGAGGGGCGGTTTTCCGCAACCCGACTCCAATCGCAAGGTCGTGCAAATGCCCTGTTTGCCCTTTCCCCTCTCGATGGCGCACAGTGGATCAAGTCAATTATTGAGGTCGGACGTGAAATTTTTGACTGAAACTGAGAATTTTTACATTAAATTCGTCACATTTAAAATTTTTGAGGGGTGCTTCTAGAAGAAAATTTCACGAGGAAACCAATGAAACCACTGTTGGAACCTCAAATGTTTGCAGAAACTGAGTTTAAGCTTTTAAAGTTTCCAAATTTTGTCCGGCCTCTTCTGTTTATTTGTTCCACTGTGTGGCGCCCCTGAGTTTTGGCACACTGGAACAAAAGTCGCTTGGATCTAGAGTGTGGACTCTTGAAACCATTGACAAGAAAAAATACTCTTGATTTAATCGGGCTTTTTGCTTGAATCAAAAGGAAATCCGCCTAAATCAAGAGGCTCGGCTCTTCGATTCGAGGAAAAATCGGATTGAATGACACTGGAAAAAAAAGAATCTTAAATTTGCCGCCAAGAAGTATTTCTTCTGAGATCAAGACTTTTGTTGTTGCTTAATATAAACTACTTTTTTGCTTAACCCAAGCATTATTTTTCTTGTATTAAGAAACACTGAGCTTAAATCAAAATAAAAAAAATTATTGGCGGCAAATTCAAGAATCATCATGCTTGAGCCAAAAGCATCTTTTTTTCCAGTGAAGAGTATTTTTTCTTGTAACCGCTATCAAGAGTCGGGAATCTAGATCCAAGGGACTTTTTTCGAGTGCAGAGAAAACTTAACAAAGTCAGCTGATTTGTGACACCCTTGTCCAAAAACCGTAAAAAAAACCAAAGCGAGGAAATTGTTTCTTTACACCCAGCTCTCTGGATTCCAAAGCTTTCAATGTTGAATTTCATTTTGCAACCCTGCCGTCAAGGTTTTGTTGAGTCAACAGTATGAAGGATGAGGAGACTTTACCGCCTTTGCAATTATCGGCTCTGTCCGGCGCTTGTAGCTAGATTATAACGTGTAGGTACCCTGACGAAGACACCGCGCCTCGCCTCGACCATGCTCGCGAAACTTCCCATTCAATTCTTAAACGATCTCAACGTCTTCTTTAAGCTCAAATTGTAAGCAGTAATTATTGATCGCAGTCATGGGAGTTGCCTCGAGCTGCTTCATGCTTTTTAACGATTTCTGCTCAATGAAGTAATGTTTCAATTCTGAGCCATCTTCAATGCTCTCAGCTTATCAACTATATCGGTGACGTCACGATAGGTTTTGTGACTTATGAGGGTTAACTATTTCAACCGCACTAGCCTCGAGTCTTATATATGTTGGCATGATTCGACGCGACTTTACAAATGAGGATTTTTATGACGATTTTTCTACGGTTTTTGCTCTTTTTTGAGTCGAAATTAATCGAAATATAGAGGAAATATGGATGATCATACACAGTGGCTCTGACTGAAATACTCAATCCAAGAAAGACACTACTTGGAGAGGGAAAAACTGCAAACAAGAAAAGTCTTTTATACTCAAAAAGTCTATAATCATTTAAGTATGTTTTTTGTTGCCGTGTTTATCTATCACAGAAAAACATACGGACGCAATAAAACCAAAAGTTTTTCCATCTCTTTTTTGGAAATATGAGCGATTGGAAATTTTATACTGGTGGGTCGTCGAAAACTGACCCCAATTCGCTCATTTCTGCCTCAGTTACGGGACGTGAAAAATGAGGTTTTTTCCCCATTTAAATTCAATTATGATTGTTACAACCACCCCCAAGAACCGTTTATCTGCAATACGTTTTTTCTTAATTTTTCCGGAGATTAGGTCGTTTTCAAAAATCTAAAGTTTAATCTCGTAACAAACGAAATTAAAAGAAACACCTATTTGTTCCAAAAACAAAAAATAAACGTACTGTTTCCGAAAGAAAAAAATAAATGTTGCTGTAGATTTTTGAGCGGTCAAAGTTGGTCACAATCTTAACTACGTCCTCTTAATTCTAATTTTACGATCGGTTTTACCAAATTAGATGTCAGGTAATTTCCCTTCCGCAGGAGCTTTTTAGTAGCTTCAGGTTATTATTGGTTTTCTCCTTTTCGTTAAAGGTTCCATCATAGTTATAATGACGTTGCATTAATTTTATCAGGATAAAATTAATAATAATTAATTCACACGTTTAAAATGAATTAATACGAATAATAATTTGGTTTCTTTCTGTTTCAGACTGGTGAGCTGGATGCATACCTGTGCAAGCAGGAGTTCGAGCGGCTACAGAAACTAGAGGAGGAATCAGCGAACTCGAGTAATGACTTCGATGTCAACAAACCCCGCAGAGAATCCGCCTCCCAGATCGACGAATTTTTCGACGCACCTTCCGCACACCGGAACCTTCATCAACTCAGTTACATCTCAACGCGGAACATGCATTCTTTAAACCCCGAAGACGACGTCTTTTTAAAGCCTCCCTTATGGGAGGACATCACCTCAAGCATACAAAAATTAGACCCGGTGAACGCGGACATGTTAGGCTCGTTAAGCATCAAAATGGAGCCAGCAGACGAGGTCACATGTAACAACAATAACAACAACCATAGTAACCATAATAACAATAACTCTAGTTTCTCGAATAGCTCGAGTAGTATAAAGGAAAGCAATAGGAGTAGTAGTAGCAATAGTAGTACGAATTCGAGTGCGAATTTCCCATCTCACGTAGAAATAACTAGTGCCAGTATTAAGTCAGAAAAGTTACCGATCCCAGATCAAACCCCGCCAACCTCCTCATCTCTATACTTGTTAGCGCCGCATCAGATAGGCTATCAACACCACCAAAGTAGTCACTATCACCACCACCCACAAACGAATTACAAGCTCTATTCGAGTGCCTTGCCCCGGATGGTCTACGCGCCTCCGCCCACGCCCCCCTCGTCGGACCCCGGATCTCCAAGTAGTAACCTACCCCGAAGAACGCCACCCCCGCCGTACCCGCTTCCCTCGTCGATCGTGCCCAGCGCCACCGTCGTCGCTACAGCTAGGACCACGCCAAAGTACAATAGGAGGAACAACCCCGAGTTGGAGAAAAGGCGCATTCACCACTGTGATTTCATTGGTAAGCACTCACACAGTTGATTATTCAGTATTTCCCACATTTGAATGAGTGAGAACGAAAACACACCACCTCGGTAACTCAGAAATGCTCAATTTTCATTACAGAGAGTCAGTTTTTATAAAGGTCATTGAAGTTCACGCATCTGTTCCAACTTGGACCTTTAAAGTGTCCTTAAGTACTTGTTTTTCGGCAACAAAAATATTTTTCTTGTATGAGCCCCTTCAACCACTGGGCGGTTCTGCGTGTGTCTTGATTACTTTCATTTTTTCGAGTTGATGTGTTTTCGTTCTCACTGATTCGTTACCAGACAGCACCTGATTCTAGTATGTTGACGAAAATGCCACACAAACCACTCTGCCGTGCTGAGGATACATTCGTACACGCACATACATACAAGAAGCTTTTTCTGAAATATGACAATTTTTTAGCAGAATTACCAAAATAATTTGCTTTTAGGTAATTTTTAGATAAAAATTAAGAAGCACGATTTTTGCAACACTATAACTGCGTTGGTTCCCTTCTGCTGAATTCTACCCAACTGACTCATCGGAAGAGAGGATGTTGCGCAGGTGGACGCTCGCTGGGAGGAAGGTAAATTTTTGCAGTTACAGAGAGAAAGACGCAGAAAGTCCACAATACCCCTAAAATTAAGTTTTAAAAAATTATTTTAAAAAAAAACCGACGTGAGCTCCTCTCGATCCAAATAATTCATACGGCGAGACTTAACGGGTCCGGAGGAGAAAAAATGTTTTTCACTCGTCTTTTTTCACTAACATGGCATTTCCCCGCGGGTGTGCGCAATTATCTTACACGTGAATTAAAGCGGTGCGCTGATATACCTCTGACATCCCCGCGATCATGGATCATGTGTCTCGTTAATAACAACGCACGTCGCGTCGCACTCCGGCCATAACTTTTTCCTTGATGAGGAAATCCTAGCTCGCGGCGCCGCAGCGCTATCTAGCAGCCGCATGAAGATGCACGTTAGAGCACAACTCCGCCCAAGGTTGCCATGTGATGAAATGCGGATGTATTGTTCGGGTTTAAATGTGGGAGGATTCTGCACTTCTCAGCACTATATGGCAGTAACGACCGCGCCAAGGGTACTTAGGAGACGACGGGAAACGTCACCAGCGAAGAGCGTAATAATATTAAATTATCATGACCGCGGCAAACACCTGGACTGACCGACATCGACGGGCAAAGGCTTTCGAGTAGGGAACAGCGTCAGGAGCGCATAAAAGCCGGGAAGTGTCGTGAGCCTTCAATTTGCGATTTGGTTCCTTAGGCCTTGTCTCCACGGGCCTTTTCACGAGATTTGTCCCAGGGAAAAATCCCACTTACGAAGTTGGGAAAAATTTCCCAGTATCAAGTATGGTCTTTTTACTCCTTGGACCCACTGAGAGAGGAAGAAGAAGTGTAAACAAATTGTGCGATATTTTGTTGAATACTCCATTGTTCATGTTTGTTCAGTTAAAATAATGTGTCTAATTGTCAATTAAGTGCAATTATTATTTTAATCCTGGTTAAATACTCGACTTTATCTAATTTATCTTCCCGCGCAAACTAGTCGCAGGACCGTATGAGCCTCGTCCCGTGGAGACGGTAACTGGGAAAAATCCCAGAGGTTTCATTCCTGCGATTCGAACTTGGGACAAATCCCATGAAAACGTCCCGTGGAGACAAGGCCTTAAGCGTGTCATAGGGTTGTGCTTTGACGGTTGCATCGTCGTAGTCCGCGTAGGAGGGACTTTTTCCCGAAAAACTCAAAATCTCTCGTCCCCCAGGCAAAGGAACTTGTCTCTCTTTCAAGGTTGCGAAATTGACGCAAAGAATGCAATTTTTTACAAGACTGTATCGACGCAATTTTCGTCCGAAAGATTGCGATCCGTGCGAGTAATTCTGAGGAATTTTCAGTCAGAGATGCCCCCCAGTTTCCCAATGAAACTTTAATTCGTGAGTTGGAATTTTGCAGCTTTGAAATGGAGGTTTGTTCCATCTTCTGGAAAACTACGGTCTGACAATGAGTCACTAAAACTGGTATCATTCTTCCGCTTGCCTGAGCAAAACTCACTGCGTATTATCATTGCAATTTTCACTGATTTTACACTGATTAAGGTTATAATCAGTGAGAATTTAGGACAGAAACTACTGTATAATTTTTGGTGTAAATGAGTAATTGTGTCTCCGTAGATTTTGCAACTGTGGAGCAGAGTTGCGATCCTTCGCCTGAAAAACCACGAAATGCGTCAACATGCCCTTAAATCTTTTTTTCCATGGACGGTCATAGACAAATGGACGTATTTCTGCCAAACGGAACTATGTACATTATGACGTGAGCCCTGTTATGCATATAAACCTATGGATCTCAGGGGTCGTGTCTTAATGCACATAAATCCGTTTGGCAGAGATACGTCCAAATACGAAAGGTTTGTCAAAATTTGATCAAAAGACGGAGAGTTGATGTAAAGAAAAGGATCAGAAACGGAGACCGCCGTGATGAAAAATTGCTAATTTCAATCACTCTCACCAATTGAGCACGCATAATTTCCCTATCATTAGGATACTTAAGATGCATTAAATTCAATAAACACATGTCTGGAAATTCATTCTCACCACAATCGACTTCGTTCGTGTCCGGTAAATTATTCCTAGATCATTTTAACATGCAGCCCATTATAATTTCCTGCATAATATATCTGCTGCGACTAAAAGTCAAGGTTTATAGTCGTATTGTTACGGAAAATTAAAATGATCTATCCACGCACCGCTGTTGGTGATAAGAGAATTCATAATCCGCGGAGGATAAAAAGGTCAGAGATTGTAAAGCTTGGTGCCGTGCCCATGCGCAGTGCCCACGAGGAAACGGTCCCGAATGATAGCGATCTAGAGCTAACAATAGATCAGCCGTAACAACTCTGTTTTCTCGTACCTTGTCATTCATTCAATATCAGAGCTGCGAAATTGCCCGCGGGAGAGTGGGGTTGCACGCTGATCTGCTTCAGCATGATGAGGTAAGATCGCGATTGAGAGCCCTTGATCCTGATGAGAGAACTGAAAATAACCAGCGGGCCGATTATTGAAATCCATTGACGACAAAGAAGACAGCGGGCCGATTATTGAAATTGATAGACAAAGCCATAGACAAAGAAGACAGAAGAGATATGGAAGGATCCTATTGGTGGAGGCGGGTGGTTGCAATGGACGAAGGAGGTAGGTAATAGACTAACTAACGGCAACCCACGAGGGACCCGATACTTAGTCCATCATTTTCTCCCTTAGTCTATCGGAACCACCCATCAACCAATAGGATCGCTCCATACTCCCTATGTCTTCTTTCTCTATAGCTTTGTCGATCAATTTCAATAATCGGCCCGCAGGAGGGGTTCGGAGGGATCCTATCGGTGGAAGCGGGTGGTTCCGATGGACGAAGGAGTAGGTAATAGACTAACTAACGGCAACCCACGAGAAAATTAGTACATTAGGCCTTGTCTCCACGGGACGTTATCATGGGATTTGTCCCAAGTTCGAATCGCAGGAATGAAACTTCTGGGATTTTTCCCAGTTACCGTCTCCACGGGACGAGGCTTACACGGTCCGGCGACAAGTTTGCGCGGGAAGGGAAAGTTAGTAAAAATCGAGTGTTTAACCGAGATTATAATAATAATTCAACACAATTCACAATTAGACACATCATTTTAACCAAACAAACACGAATAGTTCGCTTTCACTTCTTCTTCCTCTCTCAGTTGGTCCTAGGGGTACAAGGACAAGGACAAAGACAAGGGGGATGGCAAAATTTTCCTTGGGGTAGGACAAAACTTTAAAAATCTCAAAAAATCCCCTAACGCTTATCAATATGTGCCATAAGTAATAGAAAGATCACCCTATTATAATTATTCAGTAGGGGAAGGGGCATTGCTTCCTTTGCCATTCTCGAATTGTGTCCTTGAATCTGACCTGAAGACCTGAGACCTGAGAATAGACCTGAGAATCGAGATGATCTTCAGTATAGTATTTTGAAACCAACAGCCAAATCAGTAATTTATTTATTTATTTATTTATCTATTTTTATCTCTTTCTTTTTATTTTTATTTTTTTTTTTAATATTTCAATTAGTCCATTATAGGGATAATCCTTGCGCCTTAGTCCCGTCGCTCCCCCCGTCCCTACAATCAGCCTCAGGCAATCATTATTATGCTGTTGTATAGGGGAAAGTTTGGATGAAAATCGATATAATTTCAGGTTGGTGCTTGTTACGAAAGTTTTTGGTCTTCGTTACTGAATTATTGGGTAGCCGCGAGGGGACTGCCGTCTCAACGATAACCAAATATAGCTTGAATCAATCATTACACAGGTGGACTCAGTTCCGTTTTTTCAAGTCCGTCTTTAACGTTCAATCCAAATGCCATTTATCAAGTGCGTAATAAAAAAAAGAACACCTGGTTTAATATATGCACTAAATTAAACAAACGTCCATTTAGAACAAATTAAGGGAGAAGAGGCATTTGTTAAACTCAAATCTGATAACTTACTTCGCAAGACTAATATGTACAGCCAGATCACTCGTCTAATCAATCACCTTTAGTGATGAACAACATTCCATAAAAGGAAGACCCGTTCTTCTTCCTCTTTTTTTTGGTTCAAGTTTGCACACAAATGTGTATTTGATGATTTTAGTCGAGAAAGATATGGTTGAAGTTCATTCATTAATTGGATGAGCTCAGTTTTTTGGTTCGCGGGCCACAGGAGACGAATGCCGTGGGGCACATTGATGCCGGATTGAAGCTCAATTTTTGTTTTTAGTGCTCTATTCTATTGCCAATCCAATTATTGCATTCAAAACATGTACAACACCTCCTCAGCGACGGTGACTTTACTTAGAGTAGATTTGTATTTTCCATCGGGAAATGGATATGCTTTGCTAATGTACATGATAATTGAAAACATGCTGATCGTATGTGTTGGAGAAAATTTATCTTTTTTAATTGCTGTTATTTTTCAACGATTTAAGTAACTTTTTTCTCGATTTTACGCGTAGAAAGACTAATTTCTGTTTGCAACTTAAATGCAGTGTTTGATCACCATTTACTCAAATAATTCACCTCTCTCCGAAACTATCATACGTCTGCCATATAGGACCATTGCAAAAACGATAACTTTGTATTTTTTGTTTACAGGATGCAGTAAAGTCTATACCAAAAGTTCTCATCTGAAGGCACACCAACGAATACATACAGGTAATAGTAATTCCCTTGGATGTCTCTTTTAATTTGTTAAAAATCCTACGCATAATGAAAATAATATTTTATCAACAAGTTTCGTAATTCCATCAGATCGTATCAAAAAATCAATTATTACTGAGGGTAAGTTTAATTGTACAACTATGAAATAAGTAAATAAATAGGCATGCCATTTCGTTATTTTAATCGTGCCTACTATCGGCATCATTTAATTCTCTCCTCCATAACAAGGAGCGTTCTGGGTGACTTAAACGCGCGACATAGAAAAAAAGAGAAAACTGCTGAAGGTAGGCAAAAGGGATTGTCTACAAAATTCATTTCCAAGAATCTGTCTGGCAATTGATCAGTGTTGTCACTTAAATTTACAACTCTTACGAGAAAAAATTCTCAATTTTTAAATGTTATTCTTTTTATTTATTACCTTCATTTTCTCGGTGGAAAATCGGAGTTTATCCTGCCGGAATACTAATGCACTGAAGGATGATTAAAAAGATATAGTATATACTTTCTTGCAGACGCACTTTACTGAGTTTGATCATGTTACTTCCAAGCTCATCTCTTTTTCCTCTATTTTGAAGCGCCCGCTATTCTCTTGTTCCAAAGATCCCCGTTTGTGAAATTCATCCGAAAGATCCATTTCTTTAGCGGAAAGTGAGACTTAAGAGATGATTGATCAAAAACTTTCGGCATTTGAAATCAAATTACCTCGGGTTATCTCCAAAATTTTGACAGTTTGTGGCTCTAATCTCGCGGCCTAAAATTCCAGGTTTGAATTTTAGTAGTGCGAAGGACAAGATATTCCTTTATTTCGTTATACCTCTCACCGGCTTGTACATTTCTTTTCTCGGATTCTTTATCATCGCTAGTTTTGGTTTTTTTTACTTTGCCTATCAAACCTAAAATTCCAAAAAAAACCCAACTTCCAGGGTCTTATATAATTTGAGGTTTAAACCTCATGAGTCCAAAAAAGAGAATACATATCAATGAATCAGTTTTAACTAAGTTTTTTTGTTTTGTTTTATCGTTCCAGATTTGTATAATTCTTTCGTAACTTTTTAAGCAAAATCGAGTAAAATTTTTAAAATCGAGAATGAATATTGCCGTGCAAAGTTGAATAAAGCTTCGGAAACATTGAGGAGGAAAACCTAGACCCGATAAGCGCTAGCCATATGTACGACAAACGTCATGAAACGGTTTACACCAAGTTTCAGTCACATCACAATGGCTTCTAAAATACACTACCGAGCATGTAGGATTGTGGAGCCGAGGTATTGCGGTCCGAAGAGTAGAGTGCCATCGGTTTGAGACTTTGTTTGGACGTAAAGCTATGCGAGGAGGCCATCAGGCCATGTTGCTTCGATGGTAAAGCAAATATTGGTCAAAAAAGAACATTTATTTAGGCCCGAACGTGTAGCGCGCATCGAATAGCTTTGTTCTTTCAATTAACTATATGATTAATGACGATTCCCCGATACCGGTTCGTATTCCGAGGTCCGAGTGTTTGCTCTTTTCTCTGTGGTATTTGCTTTATTGCCTTGCTAATTGATTGAACTTCGCGGCGAGGATTCTTGAAGCTTCGACAGCGCTGAGCGCGCCGCTGAGAAGCGCTGGTCCAGTGTCAAAAGAAGCTAGATTTCAGTGAAAAAGCACGACATTTCATCGTGAGAGGTCATATCTAAAATGGGCTTAAGGTGATTCGATGGACGCCATATTTTGTGTCAGAACGGCATGCGATATATCGCATCAATTGGTTCCATTTGTTCAGCTACTCGTCATTTTTCTCCAATTTTGAGACCGCAATTCTGTTGTCAGGAGACTAAAGCGCTCACTCACCAATTTTAACAAAGAAATTCAACGTAGTAAAGGCGTGGTTTTTTTTAGAGAGAAAATGTCGCATTCGAGTGCAGTTTCGATATCTGTATAGAATGCGATGTTTTCTCTCTGAAAAAACCACGCCTTTATTACGTTGGATTTCTTTCTTAAAATTGGTCAGAGAGCGCATTAGTCTCCTGACAACAGAATTGCGGTCTCAAAATTGGAGAAAAATGACGAGCAGCTGAAAAAATGGAACCAATTGATGCGATATATCGCATGCCGTTCTGCACTGAGAAAAAACTATGGCTTATAAACCTATTAGAGGTAAATATGGAACACCACTAATAGTAGTACCTCTACATATAATAATAGCACATATACCTTAGTTATGGTCTCTGTACCTTAATTAGGTACAGAGACCTTAGTATGGTTCACAGACCGAGAATCATTAGTTTATTTACGACTATTATAGGTGTTCCATATTTACCTCTAATAGGTTTATAAACCATAGTTTTTTCTCAGTGTGACACAAAATATGGCGCTCATCAAATCACCTTGAAGAACTGGCGGATACTGAACTGTTTCATAACAGTTCAACTCCATAACAACCTCTTTACAATTGAAACGCGCTTCCTTTATTAGGGTGGTATACTGCCGTGCTAAGGAAGAACGCCGTATGAGCCTTTAGATATTGCCATATTTCCTACGTTAAAAAACGAATTTTCTGGGAGAATTGCGAATACTTTTCTTCAAAATTTTCGGATAATTTTGTTCGCAATTTAATCAAAAAGAATATCTGAAAATTTCAACGAAAAATATGCATAGCTTTCTTCCAAAATAATTTTTTATCCGGAGGAATTCGGCAGCTCTGTAATATTTACACGGCGTTCTTCCTAAACACGGCAGTATAGGTGCCGGATTCATATTCCATAGTCGTTCTTCAAATAGGCTTCATTCTTCAGGATGGCTGCATATTACAGAGGCTGTAACACAGCATCATTGTAAAAACAAAATTTCCGAACGTCGCGTAAAATTCAGCATTAAAACCTTGGAAGTAGACCCCACCAAGATATTACAATAGATTGAAAAATAGGCAAAAGAGTCCTGCAAGTAAACAAGAGAATATACTGTGCCCATACACCCCAAAATTTAATCCATGATACATGTTAGTTCACAATGAGATATCGAGGTATCAGACAACCGCAGCTGATTGGCAGTGACAACTGCGTAAGACAATCTCATGGTGCAATAAAATTGATTCGTTAAGACGAACAACTAGTCAGTTTCAGAGTAAAGTTTGAACTTTGACCGCAAAAACAATAGGGTACAGTTTAATGGCGGATCTACTTCGGCCTGGTCGTGATTGACCGAAAACTGAAAACCTGATGGAGTTTGAGATAAGAGCGGTTGTACAGAACGTCTTGGAATAGCTGCAGGTTAGAATAAACCTTAACAGTGGGTTAATTGTTTCTTTTTAAAGTCTTATAGGATCGAAACTGTCTGCGAATGGACGGGATTCTCATTTCTTTTACGAATACTTCACAATGACGATTAGTAGGATTTGTACAGGAAGCGCTTCTTTGCCATACAGTGATAGCGATTCTAAGATCGCGTAACTTTACTTCGTTTTTCCAGGAGCATTATTATTTAGCTCTGAATTATTTTCGTCCATTAAATTCCTGAATTTTCCCATTCTTTCAAGAACTTCGATTTTATGTCCGAATTTGGAATGAAATTAAGGGCCATTGAGTTGAACATGATAGCAGTAACATCATGAACCGATCAAATTTAAAATTTTGAATAGATTCTTTAGGTTTATTTGCCGTTTTTTCAACGAAGGAATAATCATTTTAGCATTCAACGCGATTCGTTTCCCCTCGCCCTCATACAGCGGATTTAACCCGTGACCGTCTCGTTGCCAAAATATCTTCTGATAGAAATTTAGAGAAAACTTGGGCAAAGGGTACGTAGGTAGTGAAAATGGATTATTCATTTTTTCAACACCCTTCAAAAGTAAAATTTACGGGAGAGGAATATCAACTAAGTCAATAAGCGAACAGTATATAAAAATGTCGTAACTCAGCTCATATATTCAGAAAATACAAGAACAGCAATCAAAAGTCGGATTGCGTTTTTTATTCAAAACCAAAAACGTTGAAATTGGAAACGTGCGTCGTTTCATAAATAACGTCCCGCGGAAATTACAGCACAATAATTTTTAGAGTCATAAATTAAACCCCTGACTCTCTCGGTGCTGGTGAATCAGCTACTTCTAGGCGCAAGCCGCGAGACGAGCCTTTCGGAAAAGTTTAATAAATCAATCATGAGTTTCGCGGTGAATTTAACGCGAATGGCGACTGGTTTCCGCCTGTTGGACAATGATGTTGGACTGGGGTCTTACTATACATTTGCTTATACGAATGGCAGAAATTAAATGTCATTATTCATGCGGAGACGTAGGAAATCCCTTACGAGCCGCGATAGACTCTAGACTCGAATCTCTCAACTTAAACGATGATTTGACTCGATTAATAGCACCATGGTGGAATAGTTGGAAAGAATAAAAAATTTATTATAAGGCACATATCCATCGATCCTCAGCTTCAGCACCAATAAATAAAGAGCACTGGGGGAAAAAAACACATTCTAGACTCTTAAAAACAACTCCAAGAAAAAATACTCTTGATTCAATCAGATTTAAGCTTAAATCAAGAACCAAGCCTCTTAATTTGAGCGAATTTCCTTTTGATTTAAGCCTAAATCTGATTGAATCAAGAGTCCTTTTTCTTGTCAATGTTTTCAAGAGTCTGGACTACAGATCGAATGTGTTTTTTTTTCCAGTGTACAGGGCACAAATCCATCTATCCTCAGCACCATAATACATAAAGAGAAACGGTTGAATAAATAATGGAATCCCTGGAAAATTCAGTTAAAATTTTTGTACGTGACGTGGTATCGAATGTTGATATATTCATTTTCTCGCGATAAACCATGTGTCTCTAATCTTACAAGATCCAAGGAAAGCGGATAATACATCATTTTACACGACAAAAGAACTGATATCAAAAAGTTCAAAGTTAAGTCTTTTTTGGGCAAAGTTGTCTGATCAGATAACTCGCATTGTTTCCCGTAAACTAAATTATGATTCCTAACCCATGGAACTTTTTCTTGACCCAGAATTT